ACTGAGTTCTAGTTAAGGATGGTTTTATCTAAAACTAATGTGGATTTGGCAGTATTTCCGTTATTTCTGTATCAGGCCAAAGACTTTTCAGCCCATGTAGTACGTAACATTCATAAAAGGGGATGTTTTGACTTTTCATATAAATAAAAGCTTTGGTTGACGATCAATATAGATCGCACCTAGTAATTATTGGGCTCATCTTGAATGGAGGAAAAACTAAATGTCTACATCGTCGGTTGAATGACAATTGGATGAATTGTATTTTGGACGGATGACTGGGCGGTGCTATATAACAATATATCCAAATAAAAAACTAAGCATTCCGTGCGTAGATCTCAATCAAAACGCGAATAAAACATAAAATGAAAAAAAACAGTTATAAATTGTACAGTGTACAGTACAGACACTATAATTATGTGATTTCTTTGATGTCTTTCTTTGCCAGTGTTGGGCTGAGAACAAAAGATTTGATTTGTGCTGCGACATATATACAAAGAAAAATGAAGTAAATTCTTTGATCAGCGCCGACGTAAGGAAATCACTCACTGAATTTTATCGCAGGTGTTCATTTTGAAGAAGATTCTGTCGCTATTATTATTTATTCATGGAATGAAGCGGAAAAAAATCCGATTCGATTTCTCATAAATTCAAACTTTTTATTTGAGGATAGTGTGTTTGTCTTGTTGATATTCACACGCTTCATTTTTTATAGTAAAAATCAGAACCACACTTTTTTTAATGATATATCCCATGACTGATCGTAAAACATAAGTATAATGAAAGAACACAAATTCAATATTCATTTTTCGATTAAAAACAGAACATTTTCGAAAAGCCCCAACTTGTTTAAATAAAGAAGCATAAAAAGGAATTTCAAATCAATACGTAAACATCAATAGCTTACTTTGTATACGAAATGTGATGATAATTGGTCAAGACTCATTCAAACTTGGTAAAATATCGTTAACAAACCAATAAAATTTACTTACCAATTGAAGTGCAGCGTGAAAGTGAATCATCACCATATCTCGCTAAAAAAAAAGAATGAAGTGCACACCAGCGATAAAACCGAACACTCAATGAGATAAACCAGTATTGTTTTCCATTTTAGATTTAGCACAATAATAATTCTTTGGTTTTATTATTAAAATGTTTATGTTTCTGTTAGTTTAATAATTAGAATTATACACAAATATTGATTTCACATAATCGTTTACTTTATTTGGTTGATGTTGTTGTTGTTGTTGTTGTTTTTGTGCCGATTATTATGAATATTTACAACAAATAGAATTTTGAAGACAATTTTATGTTGCTTTGTTGTGGATTTCTGGCGTATGTTTCTGTTTTTTATTTCTCTTCTCTTCTTTATCAACACGTCTGTAAATGAAATGCTAATTAATTTAGCGTACAATGTTTCAAGGCTTATTGTTCAATAAGTTTTTTTTTTTCTGGACTTAATATATATATGAGTAAAAAAGAAATAAACAATAATGAAAGAGAACGATGTGATTTAAGTTTGACTTTCGAAAGCGAGTTTTTCGGTTTGTGCTATGCCAAACGACGCTTGCAATGATTCGTATGTTACTGCAAAAGAGTAACTATTTGGAAATATGCTTGCACTCAAATCACATAACACACGGGAAAAAAAAACAAATACTAATTGCAAGCGTGCACATTATCAGCCAAAACGGTTGTGGTGTGAGATGAATTTGGAAAAAAAAATTATTTGAAAAAATCTTTATCCAAAAAAATTGTTCATTTTGTTCCTTTCTATTCTCTCGCGGTGCATTTCATCATATTCGTTTCATTTTTTTTTTTTGTATTAGAATTTATTGTTTTTAAAATAATTAGTTTCCTATAAAAAAGAGGGTTCAATGACTTTTATTCTGTTTGACCAACAATATATTGTTAGTTTTACATTTTATCTAAGTTCTTCGCCCAGTTTATCGGTGATATAGTTTCTTTTTATAACAGTTATTTACATAAAAAAATAAGTGAATAATAAATAAATTAAAAGAAAAAAAAAAGCGGTGGTACGAAGAACAATAAACGATAGATAAAAAAAATAAAAAAATACTTTTTTGACACATTCAAAATCGATTTTTCATGGTGAAGAAAGCAAATGTGTATTAGATTTGTTTGTCTTGTTGATGTTTTAACATTTTAGAATGGAGTTGCCTCTTCTTTTTTTTTCCAACCATTGAAAAATGCGTATTATTTGAGTTTAAAAAAATAAATTCATAAAATTCTGTTAAATCGATTGATTTTACAATACTTTAGTTTTTAAACTTAGCATCTACCCGTTGGACAATGCCATATCAACTAGAGCTATAGAATCAACTAGAGAAGTATCTGTGAGTGAATGTTCCATTCTCATTTTTCTTCTCCTTGGTTTTCTGTATGATCTCTACGGTAAATAGAGTAAATATATGTATATATAATATTGCGAACGAAAAACGTATGCATCAAACGGTTCAAGCCCTATTTTGTATGTCATTTTGTAGAAAATATGAAAGAAAAATTATTTTTTTCCGATGCATTCGTGTGGTGTATGTGTTGATTTAGTTTTAGTTTGATTTTGTTCTGTGTGTGTGTGTTTTCACGAAAAAAAAAGACCCATAAAAATTTATGCTTGCAAAAAATGATGAAACAATGAAAAGACAATATATACATAAAAAAAAGGAGTTTGCTATACAAAAATACATATATATGCATTATATGTGGAGATTTATCAAACATGTGTTTTAAGATTGCTGAGCATCTCAGCATTTCGTAAGGCATGGATATATCCGAGCCTATCGACGACGCATACTGTATAATACAGTGGCGTGTGTTGCTACGTGCAGCCGCAACGACTCGACCGAAGTGTGTTCAGTTGATGTGGCTGCACGCAGCAACAACATACACATTCCGGTCGAGTCGTTGCGGCTGCGCGTAGCAACGCACGCCACTGTATGCGTCGTCGATATGCTCGGATATATCCGTGCCTTACGAAATGCTGAGATGCTCAGCAATCTTAAAACACATGTTTGAGATTTATTAAATTAAGCACTGCGATAAGAGTGTCCTAAAATCTTCAAAATTTTCTTTAATTACTCTTGTTTTTTTGTTTGTATTATTTTCATTAAATATAAATGTTACCTGTTCGAAATTATTTTGCGTAATACACACCCGCGCTGGAGTTAATTACATGCTGTGTGAATTTTTCGCATCAATTTGATTTAATTTAAAGTACTGTTTATGGAACTATCCTTTCTTGCTAATCAAGAGGCTTTGGTTTTTCTTTGATAAATTGTGTGTGTTTTTTGTTGTTGTTCTGTTTTCCTTTCGTTCTTTGCTTTTTACATATGTGAAAATTTAATGAACATTATAAAATGATAATATCGATGCGAATGGACAACGGATTCTATTGTAGTAATAATAAAAACGGACTGTTTTGGCGTTTATTTCTAAATTGTGCATTTCGAAGTGGCTGCAATGAGTCTGTGTGTGTGTGTATGGTATGGTTCCTTTGCGTTCAACCTATTAGAGTGTGTTGCTGTTGCTGAATTGTTAATATATTTTCTTTCTATTTCGCAGTAATTAATGAGGCGCAACAATTGCACTAAAATCGATACAAATATGAAAATATGACGCTTAATTTTTGTTGTTGTTCACAATGTCAATACACAAAAGACTTTTGATGCTAATTGTTGTTTTTTTTTTTTGCAATTGCCATGTTCTTAGTGGTAAGTGGTTTTTCCATTCATTTATCCAGATATTAAATGTTGGTTTGCTTGTTTTCTTCATTCAAATATTTATTCAATTTATTTCATTTGGTTCAATCAATTGAAAATCGCATTTAATTCACTTTTGTGTCATTTTTTGTCACCTAGAATTGGAATTTATTGGTATTCGTCGTCACTGCTTAGGAGCATCGTTTTTTCGTTGTAATTTTGGCTTATTGTTGATACTCGACTGCTACCTTGGCTGCCGGGCATGAATTTCCTTTGGTTGCCCAATGTTTTGGGTGCGACATAGCCACCGCCACCCGAATTGCATGTATTCCCTTGTTGTGTGCCAGTTTGTGTGGTTGGATCATCCGGATCATAGGACGACACTCGAATACCTCGACTACTTTTGTTACCTTTATGGAGAAGAGAAACCGATACAAAATGAACGACATTTTGAGAAGATTGAGACAAATATAACCGCCGCTTTCATGACTCATGCAACTTCGGTTAATAGTTTGTGTTGTATTTTTCCTATTTGAGTATAATTAGCTGTATTTTACATTCCATTTGTTTTGAACTAATGTTTTGGATTCATGTTAATGGGATTTTTTATTTTTATTTTTCATAAATGCCACAATGATTAATGCGAATTCATTCAAATTCCATATCTAATAAAGTTTCAAGAAGCAGGCAACATTCTTATAATATTGTGTTCAAAATATAAAATAAAAACCAACAAACAAATCATAATTCAAAATAGCCAATTCAAATATTGTCCACATGGAAATGTCATGCTTCAACGTACAATAAAATAAATAAAATATAATCAATTCATAAAAATGGTTCGTCATTTATTGAGCACACACCGCTAGTACTTACCCCCACTTGCATGACGATTCGCTTACTATTTACATGATGGATAATTCTAAGCATTCAGCATTCAAAAAGAAAGAATGACACAACATTTAGAGGGCGAGAGAGAGAGAGAGAGAGAGAGAAGGAAAATAAAAAACACAAAAACGGAGTCCGTCCTTTTGTCATTTTTTTACCATGGTGCTATTGTGAGGGGAATTTATTTACTATCGCTGATCAACATAACACTCATTTCCAAACATTTTCATTTTTCCATTGACAATCACAATCAAAATATACCTAACTATTTGTTTCTTTCTTTTCATCATTCACTTTGTCCGATATGTGTTTTGATTTTTGTAGCTTTGTTGGAGGGAAAGGGAATATCTTGTTCACAAAAATGTAGTTCAATGATTACTGAGTTTGTTCACGTTTTTCTTGACGCTTCCATATCTATTTATCTTTGTGGAGGAGGGAATGTTTCAGTTTTCATCTTCTTCTTTGTTACTTAGAACATAATATCGATTTCATAATACCTAGTACTGGTTTGTTTTAAATTCTAAAGTTAAATTTTCGGTGCAGTGTCAAATTATCAATATTATTTCAATTTCTCTCTAGTTATCTTATTATTCACTTCCTAAATATTTTGTTACTTTTCGCAACCACCCCCCCCCCCCCCCCATATGTATGTATTTGAAATGGGTTCATTCTATTGCAAAGCAGTTTCATTTTGGCGCTACTCATTCCCGGCCGATCTTTCTCTAATCTCTGTTCTATCTTGAAATGTTTCCAATATCGTCGAGAGATGTACATCGAAAAATTCAAAAAGTGGGTTTGTGTTTATCGGAAAAATCAAATGCGTTACATCTACAGATAGATCGAAGAGAAAAACATACAAGACACATGAATCGTAACTTTTCTTTCATACGGATTCGTTTCGATACTGAAACTTTAATCACAAATGTGATTCATTACAATTTCTATTCAAACTACTAACGTTTACTATTGTTGTCATCTTGTTTAATGCATAAATGGGAAATTTACGGAAAAACTTTTGAAATTTATACGATTTTTTTTTTGTTGAATTTAGCTTAGCAAAGATTGGATAAAAAAAAGAACAACAACGAGAAAATCATGAATCAAATGGGAAGGAAAAAGATGCGTAGAAAATTCTCCCACGCGTTCATTTGTGTCAGGGTAGCAATTAATTTTAAGTACAAAAAATACACATATACATTTTATATCTTATAACGACAATGGAACCAAAAAAAAGGAAAGCGATCGGTCCGACAACATCGTATATTGTTTTCAGACATATTAATTTAAAAACAGTAACAAAAAAAAAAGATCGGTGATCAATTTTCGATTTTTTTTTCTCTTTTTCATGATTTTGTTCATCTCACATTTTAATTGAATATTCGAAAAATTTTAATGAATGAGCAAACGAAAAAAGAGAAATGATTTGAAAGGGATGAATCCATCGTGAAATATCATATCAAATACCATTTTGATTGAACCAGCGCTCTAAATCTAAACATCAGCATATTTTTCGTATCATTTCTGTTCATTTTTTTTCTTCATAAATTAACGTTACATTGAAAAAAATTAAATAAATAAAACTCTATAGTATGTCTATTTATTTATTAAAAAAAAGGGAGAATAATCGTAAGGTTTCTTTTTTTTTAGTTTAGAGCTTCTCATACTGTTGAGACGATGTCACTTCTGTAGGGAATAAACAAAAAAGAGAAATCAAACGAAAAATCACAAAGAAAATTCAATAATTTTGGTGGAGCAAAAATTGGGATTTTTTTTTTTGCCACAAACAACTTTAGATTTCTTCTTGTTCCAAATAGAAAAAAAAAAACAAAACAGAAAAAATAGTAACTGCAAATCTGCTAGAAAAACTTATGTAACTAAAGAAATTTAGGGAAACAAATAAACACCCACAACCGATTGAAGTATTGTTAAATGGTATTTTTTTTACCAATAGCTTACATCAAAATAATAGATGGGGATTTATAGGGAAACATGTCCACCACTTGTTATTTAATTCTAAAGGCAACAAAATCGGTTCTGATTTTTTATTTACGTAAATTAAATATACTATGATTGTGTGTTTGTGTGCTTAACTGCTGTAGAAGAAAATTTCTTAATTGCACTCAGCATATAACCCATAAAATGCTCTTTTTTTTAATTGAAATTTTTGTTTCATTGCTGCAAATTCAAAAGCAGTGTCACACATAAAACCCAAAGGTTATCACTAGTTATTAAAAGTAAGTTTTTGTTTGAATTTTAGTTGATTGCCAAACCAAGTACGAACTAATTCATATATCTTAAATTGCGTTTGTGTGTGGGAAATTAAAAGATCAAAGGCAAAAAATCATTTTGAAAAGAAAAACCCAAGAAGGAGGGTTTACTTTGTTTTTTTTTTCTTGGTATTTGCAAAAGAAAGAAAAAATCAACAGTTTATTCTCAGTATTTTTTTATGCAGGCCATTTTACAGCTAACGAAAAAAAAAAAGAAAAAAAATCTCTGTTAATATGACAAATTCGTAAATAATTGAAATGATATATTTTCATTTTCTAGAGAGAAAAAAAAATTAAATTGGAACGAAACACAAATACGAATGAACGTTCAACGAAAGGAAAAAAATGTGTCACATTTCCATTTTTGTTTATATACATAAGTGGCCAAAAAGAGAAACATTGAAACATTGTGTTCGAATGACATGGAAAGTGTTGACGGTGCAAATGATGTATATGTGCCAAATCCAAATATTTATTTCAATAAATAAAGATAATCTTTTTTTGTTGTTGTTTTGTTGCATAAACGACACTGTAATCACAAGATACGGGTGTTCAACCAATTATCGATTGTTCTAGTGGTTTTTTCTGTTTCTAAATGCTACCCTGAACCCATCTCTATACCAGTCAACCATTTTTAATCCGTAAATGATACTATCTACAATTCAATTAATTCTCAACAACGTTACAATTTGATATGAAATAAAAGATGGGAAAGAGTATGAAAATTGATTAAATGGATAACGGATCGACTACAAGGTTCAAATACACAGGACAAACAACAAATGTGTGGCACAAAGAAACACAATTAGTAGAACACAAAACAGAGAGAAACATGCACAGTAATTTTTTGTAATTTTAACAAAAGCAAAACGGTTCAAGCGGTTAATCTAATTTGACAGAAAATCCATGCAATTTCAAATCTCACTTACCAGAACTGTATTGAGTGTATTGTTGATACTGTGGATGGAAATTGTGAATTGCATCTGTCATGATGTCTTTCGGATTCATTGTTTCCTAATTAGTGGTGGAACGTTAGAATTGTAATTAAATTTTTTGTAAAATTAAATTGCGTGCGTAAAGAAAACGAAGAGCAAAAACCACAGTAGCAACCACATTCAATGTGAATGGGTTTGAAAATGCAGTTAGATTGATACCTTTAGGCTACTGGAAATGGATTGCATTGTGACCGAACGACCGTGCACATCAGTCATACCGCCCTGTGCGTAAACCTGTGTGCCAAAATCGAGAGATGTGTATTAAAATCGATGCAAAAAGAACCCTGATTTGCCTTCTGTTTCATTTACCTGATACGGGAATGCATAACGCAATGCGATCGCTGCGAAAAGCATTTCCACACAGATGAAAAAGTTTTGATAGCCAGCTGACACTGTACCAGCGGATGTGGTCGCACCATCACTGTCAACGACGGCCGAAATGGCTCCAGCCTTTTCCAAAATAGCTAAACCAACACCTGAAAAACATCGAACGCGCCAAAATAAAAGCACGCAACGCAATTAGTACACAAACTCAAGTGAATTTTTGCAAGCGAAGCAATTTGAGCATACCTTGCCAAAACGATAAAAATATCACCGATTTTATGGTACAGAATTTAAGTACTGGCTCGAATGGCGTCAATAAATCTCTGGTAGCAAAATAAAATAGGTAGAGGCCGTACAAAGCTAACGATACAGATATATTATACAGCATCGTGATGTAGATGTAACCACCGTTCACGCTGTTTGCATATAAAACGTGGGAGAGAAAAGTTAGACAATTCAGTTGAAAAATGTTGTTCATTTGATTGCAACGCAACAGTGAGATGCAGCTAGAGTGTACAGAATAAGTGAGAAAAATGAAATTACCTCCAGTCGCCATCATGATAGTGATCGAATGCTTGAAGGAATATGATGATGAATGCGACCAAGGGTTTGACTAAGCAAAACTGCAATGTGGCCTGTTTGCAAAATCGTAAAAATCCGATCGTGTACGTTTTGCCTACACCCGAGAAAGAAAAAAACAAACAAACAAAAACAACAATCCAATTAAAAATTGATATGTTTGACCGTCGCATTGTTAAACGAACACATCCAAGGAAATTGAAAACGATTAAACGTTACCTGCTAAGCAACATGTTCCATATAGACACGATGATTTTATTGGTTTACCACGAATTTCGGACATAATATTCCCTTCGCCGCCCAAATACTCATAACAGAGAGATAAAAAGTTATATATCACGAAAGCTGCAACAGATAGAGAGAAAGAGAGTGAGCGAGACGACGAAAAAAAAAATGCAAAAAAAATTCACAACAATGCCATTAAGTGTGAGTGGAATTTCGTAAATTTTGCACGAAATCAACTGTTATCGTCATAGATAGATGTAGACAAAAATGAACCAACCTTCATAACAATCACGAACTGTGAAAAAGTAAATGTATACACTTTCCGAATTGAAAAATAATAGACTGATCCATGAATATGTCGCATAAATCGGCACAATGAACAATATCCGTACGATCCAACGTTGTTCTTGTGGATTTGTATACCATCTCAAGTGTTGATAAATCTGTAACAGAGGAAAAAAAAAGAAGTTAATATTTACATTTACCCGAACAAATAAATGGGGCGAAGCCAATTCTTTCGCTATATAGATTAAATTCCAAAGTAAATGTTTAAATGAATTCCAGATGTTGTTCAGCTCGAATAATGATGATAAGTCATGAGAGAATCGCCGCATTTTTCTCTTCCCCTAAAGAATCATTGTGCTTTTGTTTAGAAGCCGCAATTTTTTTTAAAAAGAATTATTACTGAAAAAGTTCATTGAGGTTCAACAGCTCAATGAAGCAGTTGCTTGGTGTAGAAATGCAACAACTGATTCGCTTAGTTGTTTCTACCATATGAATAGTGTTTGCGTATGATTTGGCATAGAGCCTCGCATCAACTTCGTCTTGGCCTTGCTCTTGAGCAAGAAAGAGAGATAGATAGGTAGAGGGGCATAACCAGTTAAGAAAACCATATGCAAAAGCAATTTCAAGGCTTTCTGCCTATACTACACGCAGACAAGATGTTTTAAAATCGATTCAAAAGAAACCGCATCACGTTTGGGCGAATGTTTTCTTTCGCACGCGTACATGAGTTGAGCAATTGCAAAATACCTTATTTTGCTTACGCCATATTACGACAAATACACCTTCGAAGCTACAAAAACACAACCGGTAAAGAAAATCTCGTTTCTCATCAACTATCTCAAATGGATGGGCTTTTTTACGTAATTTTTTTTTCTTTCCACTATGTTTCGCATTGTGTGTGAGTGTGTGTGATAAATAATTGATTATGACATCACACGCATATATTCGCGATGCGAAAGCATTTGTACAGTAAATGTATAAATAGTAAGCAAAAATGAGCAATATGTGAACCTGAATATTGCATTAATGTGTGGCAAATTGAGACGATAAATAAAGACAAAGAAGAATACGAAGAGAAAAGAAAAAGAGTAGAAAATCAAGTGCAAAACATAATTTCAGATCATGCATAAATGAAGCGGTCCATTCTTAAGCCTCGCGTGGATATTGATCAGTAATCAAGCAATTTTGCACCGCTTCGCATTATTTATAAACGATTAATAGTATGCTGATTTTGCTCTCTTTGTGCAATTAATAGAAAAATAAACACAAGAGCTTTGTGTGGAGTACTTTGCTCCGCTCACATCGGTTTATCAGTTTGATTTGTCACAGGAAAAGCCAATTTGCCGTTTGGGATTTGGTGTTTCGAAAGCATATTGGGGTGATCTTTACTCATTTAGCCCCAAGAGGGAAAGCAGTAATCCAGTACTGCATTCAATGCCGATTCAATGCAAATAAATTCAAATCAATGCTATTCACCGCTATACAATATAAGTATCTCCATTGTGTGGTTGTGTTATGCGCGACGTACTAGAGTCGAATGAAATAGAATATTGTGCAACATTGGATCGCAGTGAATAGCATTGAATTGGCATTGAACCGGCATTGAATGCAGTACTAGATTACTGTTTTCCCCCTTGTTTAGCCCGAACTCGAAACGTTCCTAATCAGAATGGGCAGAGTTTCCGTTGACACGCATTCGCATATATGACAAATATACTATGCTCAGTTGAGCTATTTCACTTATCAGCAAACACATTGCTATCAAAGCAAAAGTATATATTTGTTCAAAACCATACATATGCTAGCCGTTTGAGTCACTCTCTATTAAAGTCATTGTCTTTTACCATGTCTCGGCATTTTCTTTCCTCCGTATTATGTCATGGAACGAATAGCAATCCAAGACCGCTTAGTAAACGAAGAAAAACGACACGCAGCACTCTAGGCGAGGGACACTCAAAACAGTCATCGTACATATATTGAGCGGGCACTATCGATGCGTTCATTTGTGTGAGTGCGATTGTGTAAACGACAATGTTCGTGTCCAATATGTGTACGATGACAGCTACGAGCCATCCACGCGTAGAGGCGTCTTGACGTCTTACGTCAAATCTTTCCCATGTATTTGTATACGAAGAAAGCGACCTTGACCAATCGATATAGCCGAATTTGCTACACACCTGGATCCAATGGATTTTCGAATATAATGCGTGCGCCATGCCATAATCGCCATAATAAATGGAAACGTTTTCTTTTTGGGATTATAACATGACAATCAATGGTCGGCAAAATCATCCAATACTAATGTACTCCTCTGCTTCTTTCTCTTTTTTTGCCTCTTGTTTCTTCCGAAAAAAATTATGTTTTTTCACGTTCAATTAAACATCCACATGTTTTTTTTTTTACATGCGCATTCAATGAATTAATTTGTAAGGAACTTTCTTCCGCAAAAATTGATTGCATTTTCCATCAAAAAATCCGAACGGAATTATCGGCCATTGAATCGAGTTAATCTGCTTCGGGTTCATTCTCACAACGGAGAGACTTTTACAAAACAAAATAGATATCCATTTCGGTTTAAATGGATCCAATGAGACAGGAATGTTGAATGACTCGATGTTTGATAGCAAATCTTATGGATTGATGATTAGAGGTGCAGCGGTTGATAATTAATTGAGTCGTTTCACCGTTTATCGATTGAATTGACGTGTCAATGTGTGTGCGTGTGCAATGATAAAATTTGCCTATGTTTTTATATGGAGCACATGTTTATGCTATATTTAAGTGACATCTTGACGCTGAACGCTGAACTATGGAACTTCTATACAAATATACTGCCAACTATCAATGACAGCAACCAATGACAGCAACAATAGAACGTATTTGTATTGCAAAATACTTCCAAACCAAATGGCGCCAAACCAAAAGTCATTCTAGTCATTTTTCTCATTGGTGTGTGTGTGTGTGTTTTGGCATGCTCTAAATGCCTTTCGACTCAAGTGAAAAATGCAATTTGTACGGGGACAAGTCCAGCATTTGAGAACTTGTACGACTTGCAATCAACTAATTCCTTTCATTTTATCCTAACTCGATCGAAATTGTAATACATCAGCGCTCGACGGTGCACCGAGATTATACAATGCATTCATTGTTGTTCGCACCATTCGCAAATTTTTTTCTCTCTTCTCTTCTATCCATCTATCTTTTGCATACATGTGTTTGCTAGTTGGTTGTGATTTGCCTGTTGGTTGTGATTTCGGAGCAAAAAAGAAGAAGAAGAAGAAGAACATAAAATAAAATGGATATTTTCGCTCTAATAGAGCATGCACGCTTTTTCTAAAAAAATACTATAATAATTGGATCATCGGCTTCAAATAGATTATTATTACTTTTACGTTTGCACAAATCGGTTTCGGCAGGCAATAGTCTTTCAATGTAATGACCAAGTGACACGAGAGGCAAAGGCGTGAGACAGTTAGTTTTCAACAAGCATTTGTTTTTCTTTGTTCGTTTCGATTCTCTTTCAACATTGCAATGCAATGCGATTTGCTTTCGTTTGAATTCCAAAAAATCGAATATGTCAAAGAAAGCGATGCATTTGCAAGAAGCTGCTGCATTTTAACCATTGCAATATTGTTATTGGAATTTAAATTGTTCAAATTGTATTGTTGTGTTTTGGGGTCTTTGGCGTAAGACAGAGAAAGAGAGAGAGAGAGACAGAGAAAAAAAACGGCTTAGATAAAATTAAATATATACAAATGTTCAGCGAAACATTTCGCCTTTTAATCACTAGTGCGTCATTACCGGGGCTTATCATGAAACATTCAATTTCGCTTCTTCAACCGCGCACACCAAATGAAAAATTATTGCTTGCAAACACAACTTACAAACACAAAATGGAATAAAGCACGTTTTAATGCAATGCTAAAAATAATCAATCAACAGCATGCTTTATGTTTAAGGAAAAAGCTGCCGCGAAACACAGTAGAAATGTATTCAGATTTTGAAAAGTGAAATGTAAATGCGCTTCAAATGAACGGAGAGCATTCATTAGCGTGTTGATTGATTGGGATGACGCCTTTTTATGCATCCCAAATGAGATGTTTCCAAAAAGATTCGTTCTGCAATCATTTTTTTTCTTCTTCTTCTTTGAAAATTTCCTATCGAATGATTTATAATATGAGTCGCGGCTGGTTTATATCAAAAAACAAGAAAAAAAAGATTACATTCACAATCTTATCATGATTTGAAAAGCTGTTTGTGTATGTTTGCGTTGACTATCTATTTATGACGTATACCAATTCATGGAATTTCAAATTCTAGAAATGGTAGGCTATCACATCGACGTGGTCAACTGAATTAGATGTTCATTTTATTCCTGTTTTGAATCAATGTGATGAAATTGATTTGAAACGTTAATTACCTGCGAACATGTCAGGAACAATGCGATCCATACGCATATGCCAGCAAGACCTTGGGCGGTTTTTGTTTGAAGGAATATACCATCGCCGACATGGCTGAGGGGATCGCCGATCGCCAGTGCGGCTGAATGTGAAAGTTCAGTCGTCACACTGGCCATTGATTGTGTTGGTGCGGTGGTTGTGGTGGTCGTTGATGTAAAATTTAATGCATCTGGAGATGGTCCAGACATCATTTCACGCCTTTCTCTAAGCAAATCCAAATACTCTCACTCGATTCAAGTGGTTTTATTGTGTGGTGTCAACCTGTGAATAGAAAATATAACACAAATTATCACAAATTAATTTGAAAACATAAGGAAAAGCAGCCGATATAATACAAACACATACACAGTTTGGCTTAGTATTGTACCGTTTGTAATAATAGATTTACTTTGAGATATAAATAAAATGCAAATGATGGCCAAATGAAGATCACGTTTTCCGCGATGTTTTTGGTTGGTTTGTAAAATCTAATTAAATGAATGGCATTAATTTCAGCTAAAAAGCAATTTCGTGTGTACAAACGCACGACGGTCGGTGTATTTGTGTACGGCGCGCAATATTTCCATATGGTGTGTATTTGAATGAAGCGTACAAAGGCGGAAAATATGGAAAGTCTAACCACCTACATGAAGCAAACCAACAACAGTAACAGTTACACAAAAAAATCTATATGTGCAAGCTATGGTTGTGGCACGCAGGATGATATTTTGTGTCACAGTGCGTCGGCTATGGTTCGTTACCATTTCATGATTTTTGATTAAAGATGTACGCCAATCAATGATGATGGCGTATACATTTTTCGCCGCAATAAGCGTTTCTATTTTTTTGTTCATTCTGCTATGGCAAGGGTGGAGATTGAGAGGAAGAGACTGTTTCGATGTAGTGCCATTGTTCGATGAAGGAGTTATTGATTTAGCATATCCATAATATGGTTTGCGGTTGAATGTTTGTATTATGATTTGATGGCATAATTGGCCGAAACGCTTACGGAAATGAATTTTTTACATGGTATACTTTTGATTTTGCACGGTTCAAACGCACCATATCGATGGAATGGCTGCATTAAATTATCCTGATTATTATGAGGCTCAGCATCAATATGGTTCGAAAGGTGTCTTTCGTCGTTATTTTTTTTCTCTTCGGCAAAACTGGTCGCTCATGAGCTAATAATGTCATGGTCATTCTACACATTTTGTTTGAATTCGTCAGTGAAAGAAGACATTCACAAAATCCATTAAATGACGGCGACGACAACAACAACAACAATGGCGACAACAGCAGCAATGAAAACCATAATGAGCGTGTGTATGAGATATCATTCCAGCACACACACACACACATTCAAGAGCCATATCATTTAGCACTTCGTGAGAATTGAAAGCAACAAAATGAGCTACACTTCATAATCTTTAAGACAGTTAAGACAAAAAAAAACGTACTCCAATAGAAAATATCACATAAAGTAGATTATGTTTTTTCAAAACCATCTGTAAGCAGTGGTTTTTGTTTATTCATTTGTTGTTTTTCACACGCACACTTTTAAATCATCTATATTGGTCTTCGAAAACCAGTGACGTTTGCTGCCATTTGGGTCGTTTCATTTTTATGTATGTACGCAATTTTTCACACACAAAAACACCAGAACACGAAAGAAAGAACGAAAAAAATGACGACAACAACGACGAAGAATTGATCTAAGCGCTGATTCAATGGAATTGTCTTGTTTTACCTTTTTCAATATATACACATAAAAACCTCGATGTTGAGTATATCTTCGTGCAATTATATTTCCTTATTGTTCGATTTCTTTCAAACTCGTTGTGCTGCTACGTTTTCAATTCACTTCAGACGGATTTTCAAGTAAAACGAACGTCAATCAAATGTAAAAACCCGCAACATAAAAGATGAAATAAAATTACTAACCAACAAAGAGATAGTATTCAACGAAAATAGAAACGAAACAAATTTGACACACACTCAATATTGTACGGTGGCCAGGCTATGTGGGAATTGGCGTATGTTTCAAGATTACGGAACTTAACATGCAACTACTTGTCTCTTGACCAATTGGCTTATAATTTTGATCCACCATTAACACAATCACCGTTGTCGCTTTCTTGCTTGAAAATTCTCTTAAAAAACGGTTTCTGTTTCACTTTTTGTGTTCGAATGTAAATGTTTCTTTGGTCACCACTGAAATCCAAATGCTGATTCCATTTTATTTTTCAACTAAATCGTATTCGAGTTTATGTTGGAACTGAACACACTCACACAGCACTTATTATTAAATAATTATTCTCCGATATTTCTCGATTGGGCTCAGCTCTCTGCTCAATTGAAAATTGCGCCAGACAATTTTAATAAAAATTAATAATTTAGCATTTAAATGTAGTCTGACTTTTAAAATTGAAAGACCACACAAAAGTGTTGGAATGTCAAACGAAAAAACGAAATAAAACGAACTACAAAAAACAACACTCTGGCGACAGGGAAAAAAATTGTACGTTCGCAAGAATGACGGACGAATCATATATACGTCTTTAGCGAAATGCTAAAAAAAAATGCTTCAACAATCGACACAAATACATAAATATTGCAATTATTATGTGCCTACGATGGTACACTTGTGTTGTTTACTCATGGTGAAAATGGTGACGACTCTAGTACGACGCAAGTGATGGTGATTCACGTGAAACTATCGATTTAGATCAGATCAAACCCGAATTAAAATTCGTTTAATTTTATATTTCCCATCGAATCGACCGAATTTAAAGTTTTCTTCTGAATTGATGGTTTTTTTTATGCCCTTTCATTCCACATATTGCAGCTTTTGCGCAATACATAAACTCACCACTGAAAAAAAAAAATGTGTTGAATTTTGTGTACGATTTCAAATTGACATTTCTACCATCATCATACAGTCTCTCCTGAATCATAACTTTGAGATTTTTGTACATAAAGTTGCAGTTTGATTGAATTTATTGTTTTCGTTGAAACGTTGTATTGTGTTTGGCAAAGTTGGTAGATATTTCCAAAAATGGCCTTGGTTGACATCGACACTTGGTGAGAACACAATGACGCTTTTCTAATATGTGTTGAAAAAAATTTCATTCATTTCTCTGAACATTACATTGTTGTTGATAAAAAAACAAATTCGTGTTTTTTTTTTAAACACATTAAATGATTATTTCAATATGAACGCGCTTTTAATCTAAACTGAATTCCACACATAGGATAACTGAGTATGCTGCTTGTGAACGATTGAGCCGCGACATTCAAACACAAATCGTGTTACGGAATAAAGAGCCTCGTCTTTCTACCGAATACTCGAAAATATCCAGCGGAATTCGATTTAATTTGAAACAATTTTTAACCAATTTGGATCAACTCAACCAAACAATACAACAATCAGCTCAACGATCAACGATGTAAAGTTATCACAATTATAACGCCGAAATTTAATCAGCTTTCATGTAAAAATGTTTCATTTTCAGAACGAGACAAGAAGCAGAACGACGACAACGTCAAGTGGAAACCTTACAATCGCAGTACATACATTTGCAGTCACAGTTCATGAATGTGAGTAATGATAACAACGATCGAAAGCAATTGCTGGGAGAAGAGAAAAAATCCAATTCTTATTGGCAAGATGATGATGATGATGATGAAGATGAACCGCTGGCTGATTTTCAACCCACCAGCTTGGGATCACGTGAACCAACCGTTGATGATCTACGCAAGCAGCAAACAAAAATCATAGAAAATCAAAATGATGGCTTAGATGCTCTGTCCAAAGTAATTTCACGACAGAAGAGCCTCGCCATTCGTATCGGCGATGAATTCGATGAACAAAACGGTGAGTGGTTTTTGAAACAAAATATTTTCGATAGACGATTTTTTTTTTCGCCAATGTATTTCTGATTATTCAAATGAAAAAAAAAATCACTTTTTTGTTTTGTAGAAGGATTATGTTTAACGAAAAAGATTTCAATTGCTAAGTATTTTTATTCATTTAGAAATCATCGATACCCTCGCAACCACCATGGACAACACGAATTCTAGAATGAATGGCACCACAAGAAGTGTTGGCGAAGCATTGGATCAGGGATCAACCAAAAGATATTGGTTTGTGATCATAATTTTATTCATCATAAATATAATTGTTGCCGTTGTGTAATCGGTATGTGCGCATCGCAAATTCCAAAGAACATGAATGTGTATATCAATTTATTAATTTAGTTTCTTCTTTTCTAAGATTTGTATGCAATTCAATAAATTTATTGCCATGTAATGTTTAAGATTTTCTGTACAACCTATATTTTTCACATAAATAAAATCGATATATTTTACTATCAATTGAATACTTTAAACGTGTCGTAACTTTTTCGAAATGAAACAAATGGCCGATATTAAGTTTTCAGGTTTTCGTTTTATTTTCAAAACAAAATTTCCCACATCATTTTCATCTATTTGTTTTCGGTTTGAAATTACAGATACAATTCATTTTCACAATTTTAAATAATAACTTTTATTTGTTTTTTTTTTTCTTTCATTTTGGTTAGATGACAATGATCGAAGAATGTTCGTTTTATAATTGCCTTTAAATTAGTTTTTTGTTTTGTATTTAATTTAAATCGTTTACATGTGGAACATTTGCTAGATTACCTACAGCGCCAATTGACCATTTTCCTGATGCAACTTTCTTCGCCGCCTAAAAGATAAAGGAATAAATTGGATTATTTAATTTTTCACGGACATTAAAATCTCAATCACAATATAAGATTGAAGCGTTTTATTAAAATGGGCCAATTTAAATGGGGAAATTCTTATTTTTAAAAGAAAAACAGTGTGCACTTACAGCATTAACGTCAGCAACTGAAATAGCATCAATGGCAGCAATGAGTTCGGATTTGCCGGAAATTTCGCCGCGAAGAGCTTGTGCAACAAGATCGCTGAAGCGGCCGCTAGATGATTGCAATTCTTCCAAAATGTTTACTTTCAATTGTGCCTTGGCACGGTCAACATCACCTTGTGATACTGAGCCAGATTTAAGGGCTTTTACAGCGGCATCGATGGCCTAAAAATTGAATCAATTTCAATATCGAAGATGATTGTCAAATGTCAACATTTTAGTGAAATCATATGATTTAAGTTCTCTTTGCGACTCAATCAACTTACTTTGCCAACTTCACGGGCATTGGCTTGCAAAATGAATCCGAACAAACCGTTGTCTGAATAGGATGCATTGAATGCGTTGAATTCGTATGGGTTTTGGAGTGCAGCATCGACAACCTTTTCCAAAGCAGCGGATGGTGAACCGAATGGAACGACTGGTCCACTGCCGGCAACATTACGAAGAATGGCAAAAGCGAGGGCTTCCTTTTGGTTAGCCAGTGATGCACCTTGTGTGGCAACAGCAACAGTGGCCAATTCACCGGATTTGTCGACTCTTAATTGGCTTGCATTGTATTTGGATGGTGTGTTTGGTGATGATTTTCCTTCCAATTGCAATGATTTGGCATAGCCAACGAGCAAATCGTGATCAATACCAACACCGACGATGGCAGCACGATCGGCTGTGAAGTTGTTTGCAACAAAACTTTGCAGATCTTCTGGTGAAATGTTGCCAACATTGCGTTTGGCACAGAATACCGAATTGCCAAGACCACGATAGAATGCAGCCTGATGCAATAAATCGATGGCACGGGCAACAGCTGGTACACGGGCCAAATCATCCTTCAAACGGTAGGTAACATCACGAATTTCCCATGGTCGAAACGATTGTTGTGTGGCAACATCTTGCAAGTATTTCAATCCAGTGGCCAATTCATCACGTTTCAATTCGACATTGTAGGCAACCGATTCACGATCCGACGAAACACTAAGATCACCACCGGTTGCTTTTACATTGACTCGAACACCGAATCCTGTGCTATTCGCGTTCGACAAACTAGCACCGACACGAAGAACATGTGTTGTACCTTGTTTTTCATACGATTCATTACGGGAACCAGCACTGAAGGGGAAAAAACCCAAATTAACCAATTCAAATATCCACATGCACACATTGAGCACAATTGAGTCTATCCTACAAAATCACAAGGTATAATCTTACCGATAAGCAATTGAAATGTGAGATAGTGGTGAGTTTCCGTCGATTGATGCCACAACAACTTGGTTTGGAAGAGTCGTTACTTGTAATTCATTGACTTTTCCGCTGGCAGCCTTTGGACTGGCTTGAGCAGCAAAGCCACGAGCCTGCAAATTCAACGCAAAACAAATACATTTTATTTCAACATTTCGTCCCAATTCATTGATGAAATTGAGAAAAATTGAATGTAATCCATTGACAGCAATGAACTTTCCAAGTGCTTACATAACACACAATGACCGAAATCAGATGTGGTTATGAAATGAATAATGAAAAAAACCATGGAATTGATGAAATTCAATGTGTACACTTACAGCGATTGCTCTCAGAAGTGGAGTTTTACTTGCGGTGCATGCCATCGTAATTGGTAATTGAAACGCCAAAGGGCCGAAAAAAATTCGAATTCACAAATCTGAAAAGTAAAACTTAGGTTCTAGTGCGACAGAACATGCACACAGTGACAGGGAGTTTTTTTCTCGTAAATGTTCACCCTTTTTCGTCTTTTGACAGAACGAATTGAACATGTATTTTCACAAAATATGGCGACCGAACGACAACACCGAAATTATTTCACCAAAAACCGAATCTACTACGTTGTCGCATCGGTTTATCGATTCACACTTGTCACACTTGGACGAAGATCGAAATAACAATTTTTGTTTAACATATACTTGATTTTCTCAATTCGATTATGTGTATCATTAAAACATTAAAATGATTCATGTCGTCGTTTTGGAATTAATTTTTAAACTCGATCGAAATTATGAAATCATCGAAAATATGCTAGCATTATGTGTATTGTGGTCTACTACGGCAAAGATGTGGTCTTTTGTGTGTCGAACCCAGCCACAATTACACACTCACACACACACACATATACATACACACGGCGAACAAATGTATTTACGCAGAAATGTACGTAGCGTCAGAGTATTATTTTTCACTTGGGTGAGTATTATGGTCGTCGCATATTTTGACAGATCGAGAATAACATTTGTCTCGAAAGTCATCATAAACTACTGCAAATCAGTACACAGCGTAGAAGAGCCAGGTCCCAAAGCATATAGATTCGCGTATAGAGCAAAGGAGAGAGCGAAGAGTGAATACATAAATAAGAAAACGAATCACACAGAGAACAGAGAAACAAAACAACATCATACAAAAATTCTGTATCGACTAATCAAATCGATGTGTAAATTGGTGTAAATATATCGGTCACCAAAATTTGTAAACCATTGTTTTTTTTTGTGTCGTCGAGAGACAGAAGAAGAGAAGAAAAAAGAAGGTGTTTTAGCGGCTGTTCATTATAAATTTTCCATCGGGTGATATTTGATGTGTGTTATTTAGTAAGAACTAGTGCAGCAAGAAAAAATAACAGTCAAATCCTCATCTCATACGATAACAACAGTGATTTATTGAAGACCCTTGAGAAAAAAAAAATCAACGCGAACGACGGACATACAATGACATCTTTTTTTAATGTGAGCTCCCTGGCCGGCAATGTATTTTCCACGCCAGTTGGACAAAGGATTGGTAATAACTTATTCATATCATTATTTTTAAAAACGCTACATTTTGTTTTCGTTGGCATATCGGATGACACTCGCCTGGTGAAGCATCTTTCCTACTCGTGTTATTGTCGTTGCTCCATCACATTGATGAAACAAACAACAAGAAGAAGAAAAAAATGTATGAATCGCACAAATTTTCCACATGATGGTATCAGAAAATTGTACGATTTGTGGGAAATAAATCTATTTACCATCAGCAATCGGTCTCTCTCTCTCTCTTTCTCGCTTGCATCGCGCAATGTTAATTAAAGAAAACGCAACTAATGTACGATCCATATTCACAGTTCAGAGCCGAATGGAAAAAAAAACAGCAATAACAACAACGAAAGCAATATCAAAAGACCTAGGCGCATACATTGCGCACCGTATTTACATATGCCAAATTAAATTCTATTAGTTTCGCTTTATTTATTCTATTTGTTCAGGTTTTTTTCTTGTTACTATACACCAAACACATTTCTCTTTTGGGACTTTGCAGTACTCGGGCTGCTGTTTTTTTTTCTTCTTTTTCTTTGCCATTTCCAAATGCGTTTATGTGAAAAATTTCTAATATATTAGTTATGGAAGACGTACTGAAAAGTGAGCGTGTGAGTGCAATAAATAGATAATAGACGCTTAATATCGTGTTATACATTGCTATGGGCAGACAATATGCACCCAATACACATTATGATTGTTGCTGCTGCTGCTGCTGTTATTTTTCTTTTGTTTCTTTTCTATTTTCCCGTAAAATGATTTGATTTTTTTCCTACTTTCTGTCTGTTTGCGTTTGTGTCGCGGCGCATTTTCGCTTCTGATTTTCGCATTTATTATTCGCATGAAACATTTATAATGATGATGTTGACGTTGATGCAGACTTCACCTTTCTACTGACTCATTTATTTATTTTTTTCACTATATATGTCAACCCCAGAGTTTTGCTTTGCAATATTAAAATGCCAAACACAATTCAGAACAGGCTCTATAATCGATTGCTGACTGCTTTCTGGATTTATTACATATAGAATTAGGTGCGAGGTGGTAATATATGATTTCCGAAGCTCACACGAAAGTGAGATAAATGTGAGTCAATGATTTGGAAAAATTCCGTTTGGTCGCCTCGCTCAGAATTTGCGTTGTTTTCAACATTGTAAACATTTGATTTAGATCTTGCGCAAGATTTGCTCTCAATCTGATGGGAGAAGAGACACAGGGAAAGAGAAGAAAAGAGAATTAGAAAGAGATGCAGAACAAAAAAATGTATGATATTTCACGTGAACCGATTCAGTTTAATCATTCGATTTCAACCGCAATCGTGCTGAATCGTTAGATACAAAACAAAAATTGCACAGTTATATTTCCCCTTTGATATACACATTACATCAATCACAACGTTGTCTACATCACCCACAACATATATATATATATATATATATATATATATATGTATGAATCTTGTCTCTCCCATATAAACGCGCGCGATGAACAAATCGTGATCTGGTTAATCAGCTAATTACCTTAGCGAAACAAAATGGTGTAGCAAAATGTGCTTTAATGTTATACCTTTTATCTTCATTGTTGCTTTTTTTCTTTCTTGCTCAAATATACCGAATTTGGGCGAAAGAATGATTAAAGAAGAGTAATAAAGAGAAAACCATAAGAAGACGTGTAGTTGTATGGATGTATGTTAGGGCGTGTGTGTGTGTGTGTGCGTTTGTTTGTTTGGACGGCAAATATACAAAAGATTTTCACTATCATATTACTGGAAATGAGTCAACACAAGATTCGTCACTCGTCATATATATTTAATGTTTATTTGTTGTTGCAAGAACGACATCAATAGCAATAGCAATAGCAACAACAATAAATAGCTCTGATCAAATTACAGGTCGCTGCAAGGATTTTCAAAATAACTATAATAACCATACTATGGGTATACATATATATACTATATTTGATATTTTTTTATTAATTAAGGCTGTGTGCAGCGTGTGAGTAAATTACTGTTCGGATGATAAATCATTGTTCGAAATTGATCTGTGAGAATTGTGGCAACCTGGATGAATTGACAATAACACGCACCGCATGTAAAGCGTATTAAAGACGAAGAGCATCTGGCACTCGCGTACACAATTCCATTTAAGAATCGATATCGCGATATTAAAAAGAAAATAGAAACCGTTCCGGCTAATGCACATGAAATATGCATCATTTTGTTATTTCGTTACTTGGTTTGTCATTAGCGGTTTCGTTTTGCTTTATATCGATTTTCCATGGTCCAAGCTCCGCACACAATCAAAACACAACAAACAAAAACTTTTGTTCTGAAACTTGTCTTGTCTCGTCTTATTGGAGTGCAAAGCCGGCGAAAATGCTTGAAAACAATTTGAAAATTGTTTTTGTTTCTTACTGTTTGTCGAATGAAACTCATTCCACGGATTTATTATATTTTTTTTTTTTTTTTGGTCACTCAACGGAATAAAGTAGAGCATCAATTTCATTTTTTCTTTCTCATCAACAAATGTTTTCGTTTATTTATTTTTGTAATTTTTTTGTTTGTTTGTTCTTCTTTCCAATTTGAATTTTCATTGACATAGAACAAGCAACTGATGCGTCGCTTGCCTCCGAAAATTGGGCGCTCAACATGGAGATCTGCGATATGATAAATGAATCGTCAGATGCGGCACGTGATGCGATGAAAGCCATACGAAAGCGATTATCACAGAATGCCGGCAAAAATTATACGGTTATCATGTACACGTTAACGGTTCTGGAAACATGTGTTAAGAATTGTGGCAAAGCATTCCATGTACTCGTCGCAAACAAAGAGTTTATTCAGGATTTGGTGAAATTGATCGGACCGAAAAATGATCCACCTGCCGTAGTGCAGGAGAAAGTCTTGAACTTGATTCAGATCTGGGCCGACGCGTTTCGATCACAGCCCGATTTGAATGGTGTCGTTCAAGTGTATCAGGAGCTCAAGAGCAAAGGCATCGAATTTCCCGTCGCCGATCTGGATGCCATGGCACCCATTTACACCCCACAACGGGTAAGCTCAATTTATGCGACTATTCTTTTATTTTATTTCATCGTTGCTTTTTGCTGTCGCGAGAATTTCGTGTTGAATATTCAATTTTCTCCATTTTTTGTTTATTTTAGAGTGTACCAGAAAATGCATCACCACCCGTGATTCTGTCGACATCTCCAAAGAATCATCCAGATGTAACACAGCCAAATCCAGCACCGGTTGTAACCATACCAAGTGGCCCAGTTACATTGACACCGGAACAAATTACCAAACTGCAATCGGAACTCGAAATCGTCTCAATGAACATGACCATTTTTGGCGAAATGCTCACCGCTCTGAAACCCGGACAAGAAGATCCATCCGATTACAAGCTTCTAGCAGATTTAAGTCAAACGTGCAGGTAAAACAAATTGACATATGACCACATCATTTAGCTGCGATTAATATTTTATTGTTTTTTTGTTTTGTTTGTGTTATGTCGTTTTTTCTTCTCCAGTGAAATGCAGAGCCGAATAGTTGATTTAATCGGGCGAGTCACGCACGACGAAATTACAGCCGAATTGCTTCGACTCAACGACGAGTTAAATAATTTGTTTTTGCGATATCAACGTTACGAAAAGAATCGTGATCCGAAAAACACGTCAACACCATCCGCTATACTTGGTGCTGCGTTGCGAGGCCCCAGCGGTGGTAAATAACATTTATCTTTATTGTTTCATTGTTCGAGTCGTAATTTTGTGTTTATCTTGTCTTTTTTTTTTAGATGGCAGAGGAAAGGATTCATTGATCGATCTAGAGGAATCACCAGATCCAAATGATAAGCTCCCCAATAAATTTTCGGGATTATGTAAGACTCCACTTGCTCAATTCAAATATGTATTCTATTGACTACAATTCGAGAGTCGGAAATGTATTTTTGTTTTGTTTGTTTTTTTTTAACAGCTGTTGGTGGGATGGCAAGCTCACAGCTATCTCAAATCAACAGTGTTACGGCTCAATCGGGTGGCAAAGATGTCGATGAATTCGATATGCTGGCGCAATCGAGAAACGAAGCTAAATCGTAAAATTTTTATTCTTTTCATAGTAAATAAGAACAGTTGTTCAATAAAATCGATTTCAACCTTTTCCGTTTTACAGAGGCACACCATCGAAAGGTGCGAAGAAACCAGAAGTAGTCAGTATGGCTGTGAGTATTCTAAATTTAATGGATGAAATAACTAACAACATTATTATGTTTTTTTTCTTTCCAATTTTTGCACAACTAACAATTTTTGATTTTGAAACTTTTTTGTCTTTTTCTTTATTTAAGAAACAATCTGACAAAACTAATGAAAAAGTGAGATTTTTTTTTATAATTAACCATCGTTTTTAATTCTCATACTAACACAAATAATCATTAATTGCCTGGGCTCACGCTTTTATGAATGAAAAAAAAAAATTCAACAAAGAAGTCTAAGCCTATTAATTAAGTATTTTTAAGTTCTATGGGTGAGATTGAGAGTAGTGTATGTTTGATTGACTTTGTTACGAAAGAGAAGAGCAAGTTTCTGTCGACTTAAAAATGGTTAAAAGCGAGTATGTTCGTTTTTAGCGGGTCCTCGCGGTTTTTCACGGTTTCCGCGGAACTGATAAGAGATAACAACTTGGTGTCTTCGGCAAAGTTGTAGCACTCGAGGTCTTCTATAACATCGCTGAAGACAGTTATCTCTTATCTCTTATCAGTTCCGCGAAAAGCGCGAAAAATGATAAGAAAAAAAAAGTTCTATATAAAATTTGCTTTTTTATGTGCGCGATTTGCGCGCAACTGATAAGAGATAAGAGATAACTGTCTTCAGCTTAGTTATAGAAGACCTCAAGTACTACAACTTTGCCGAAGACATCATGTTGTTATCTTTTATCAGTTGCGTGAAAACCATGAAGACCGCGGAGGCTAGACGGTACTACAACATACTCTACTTTAACGCCAACAGAATCATCAGAAAACATACTCGCCTTTTCAAAAATATAAATCGAAGAAAAAACATACTCCACTCTCAATCTCACCCATAGAGTTGTAAAAAAGAAAAGGTCAAAATTCACGTTTTCAAACACTTGTTGGCTTTTTATTTCACTATTAGACTATTTAAAAGAAATTTCATTCACAGAATGCCAATGAAAATGAGCTCGATGAGATGGCAGCTTGGTTGAAGGACGCTGTAAGTGCTAAAATTTAAATTGTCGATAAATTCGATAGTAACGGCAAAAAAAAAAACTCTATCGAAATTCTTTACAAACATTTGAGTGTATGTGTAGTGTGTATTGACAAAATTTCTAAATGTTATTCGTTGTCACAGGATGCAGACAAAGGTCCCGAAGATAGTTTGACTAGTACTGAGTTTGAGAGATTTTTGGCCGAACGAGCAGCAGCTGCCGACAATCTACCAAATATTAGCGGTGGCAGTGAGGCCAATTCAAATGGTACACCAAATAAAAAATCAACATCGAAAAAGGCCGAAGATAGCTTACTACTTTAGAAACATCCAAAACGAACTAATTTAACCAGCGACTAATAGCTACTGAAAATCTAACTAACTTGATATAACTGATAGAAAATTTGAATGAAAACAAAGCAAAAAACAAAACCGACACACCCAAAAACAGAAAAAAAGGAAAAGATATTTTAAATAATAACGTTAAAAAAAATGGATGAGAAATACATAATACAACAACAACAAAAATTCACAAAAATACCAATCATACATTATCATTCCATGAAATGATATTGCTAGAAACTTGATATAAAAGAAAGAAGAAAAACAAACAAACAAACAAGGAAATGAATGAATCTATATATTTATTATTTAATATTTGTGAATAATTTAATTGTATTGATGAAAGTGTCAAGCTTACATGTGTTATATTTTATTTAAAAGAGAAACAAACAGAAAAAAAAAACAAAGTAAGGACGAAACAAACAAAAGGAGCATAATTATTTTGACATTTGGACTTTATTACGAATTGCGATCGAAAATAACTGTTCGCCTTTTTTCAACATATATACAATATATATATTTTTCATAATCGACTCAAGTTTCGACTTTCTTTTTAATATTTACTTATTACAGAAAAATAAAATTAAAATACAAGTTTTGACGTATTTATTATGAAAAGCACGTGTAAAAAAAATGGTGAAAAATCATTTAAAAAACCGAATAAATTATCAAAACCGACATATCGATTCTGTTTTTATTTTGTGTGCTTTGATGATATGGTTCTGCCTGGGTAACTAACTAACTTTCTGTCAATGGTGCAAGTGTCAAAACATACAGATAGATGGAACTGCAATACCATCTTCAAGTTCACTCAGACGAGATAATCATATGACCGACCACTACAACAAACACCAGCAGAATGGAATAAAATGTTTCTTATGTTTTTTAGCTGCATTTTTGTTGGTATTTTCAGTGTTAACTCTTTCGACTGAGGTCTGTACGTGTAATTGTTGTTTGCTTGTGTGCGTCAATCGTTTTCTTCATAATTGAGAATGATAACCGGCGAACGAGTCTGCATCTCAAGCACACATCAAAAACGATTTCATTCGTATTCATTTCAACTAGCATATAAATACACGGAACGCCTACTAAATCATTCAGTTTCAATTTTATCTCTGCTTGAAGTAAGTTCACATCATTTTGCTTTTTTTCCATTCAGTTTGTTTTTTTTTTTCCTACATCTACGCTGTTCTGTGTCTACAGAAGAACACCTGTCACTTTAAATTGGAATAATTTTCTGGAAATAATTTGTCAAGCCATTCCAATTAGCATTTTAACCAAGTTTCAATTCCAAATTTTGAATTTAACCGGCAGAAGAAAACGTTTGACCTTCAATTCATTTTTGATTAATTTTTTTTTCATTTGGATGGGCTCAGAATATCGCACTTAGTATATGACATAATGAAAACAAACAAATTTGGTTAAAAACCCAATAAAATTCAATACTATTATCATATGTTGGCGAGAAAGAGAACGACGGTTTTACTTTCAAAGCAATCAGATTTCAATAAATTTTACTCGACAGAAATTCGCGACGATTCAGCAAAGTTTCTGAGTGTGTTTATTCCATTTTATTCAGACACAAAAAAAAACTCAATCAAAGTTGGATGATGCGAGTCGCACCGATCCACGTAACGTTTAGATCTCTGTTCAAAATTACTCGAAGAGATTACAATGTTCAAGTCTTAATCCAAAATGATATCATTCAAATGATTACAAAAATTAGACGCAAATTTATGCGAATTGAATGGGAAAAAATGCATCTCATGTAGCTTTTAAATATAATTATATCCAATTTAACCCGTCAATCATTCTAGACAGATACACTTTCGTAACAATCACAATTGGATCATTACAATATGACTGAATGAATTGCTTATTTTCGAATCTGGCTTTAGAGACTCTTTTGTACAATGCAATAAATAACAATGGAAAAAATCGTAGTTCAATTGTTCGGGCACTTGAAAATCGTTCGCATCGACAAAAAAGTGCATGTTTGTTTTTTATTCATTTTGGTTAGATTAGCGTCCATTCCATTCCAGGTGATAAGATAAAGCGTTAAATTCGATTGGATTTGGTTTGAAATGTGTAAATAAGCCATTTTGAATTGTATTTGTTTATTGTTCAGCTAGAAAACTTATTTGTGTTCATTTCAAATTCAAGTGTTTATTTGAAATTCAATACCCGCACGATTGGATATGTGTGTTATTTTTCTCTTTTAATTTTCGGATTCATATTTCAGTTCAATTGACAATAATGGCAAACCCAAATCAAGAAATTATTTACAAAAAGGTAATTGAAGCTCGACGAATTTGAAAGAAAAAAAATGTATATATTTAGCTGAGATAGATTAAAAATAAAAATGATTGTATCAAATGGAAATTGTGTGGTTTTCGGACAGCTTTTCATCAACAATGAATTTGTGGATGCGCAATCGGGCAAAACGTTTGTAACTTTGAATCCTCAAACTGGAAAGCCGTTGGCAGAGGTCGCTGAAGCCGACAAGGCTGACGTTGATTTGGCTGTAAAGGCAGCGAAGAAGGCATTCGAACGGGGTTCAGCATGGAGAGATATGGATGCATCGCAACGAGGACGGCTCATCAACAAGTAAGTGTTTGATGTTCATGAAATTTCGATTGCAATATGTTTTCTTTTCTTTCTCTCTGTCTTCATCCCTCTCTCTCTCTCTCTCTCTCTCTCTGTGTGTGTGTGTGTGTGGGTGCAGAATATTAGAGTCATTTCATTTTATTTGCTTTTAATATACTCTCGATACTTATACGAAACGCTTTAGGTTAGCAGATTTGATTGAGCAGCATAAAAGCGCATTGGCCAATTTGGAAGTGCTTGATAATGGAAAACCGTTTGCCGAAGCCGATTTTGACATTCAATGCGCTATCGACACGTTCCGCTATTACGCTGGATGGTGCGACAAAATTCATGGAAATACAATTCCAGCTGGTAAGTGCTGCCATAAAAAAAAGAAAACAGCACACATTTACCATTGTCGAAATAAAAAAGGAATAACTCAAAAAATTTGTTTTAAGTGTGTCATAATGATAATATTTCCCGCATTTAATTTTCGGTTTTACAATCAAATTTGCAGACGGTGGTAGTTTGGCGATTACCAGCAAAGAACCAATCGGTGTCGTCGGACAAATTATCCCATGGAATTATCCCACGTTAATGGTAATTGGTTGGAAATTTATTCGATCATAAATTTGTCATTTAAAATGAGTCGTGAATATTAGGTGAGTTGGAAATGGGCTCCGGCACTTGCAGCCGGCTGTACAATCGTGCTGAAACCAGCTGAACAAACACCATTGAGTGCATTGTATGCGGCAGCTCTCACAAAACAGGCCGGTTTTCCGAGCGGTGTGATAAATGTTGTACCTGGTTTTGGCGAAACTGCTGGCCATGCACTCGTCATTCATCCCGATGTGCGTAAAGTTGCATTCACTGGTTCCACGGAGATTGGTCGTCTGATTGCCGAAAATGCAGCCAAATCAAACTTAAAAAAAGTCTCACTGGAACTTGGAGGTTGGAATAGCAACAATCGAACATTTATTTTACGGCTCAAACTTTATTGATCGTTAAAAAAATTTGTTCATCCTCCTCTAGGCAAGAGTCCATTGGTTGTCATGCAGGATGTTGACTTGGATGAAGCCGTTGAAATTGCACACAATGCAGTCTTTGCTAATCGTAAGTTGATGTTTTCATTGAGTTTATTAGCTTTGGAAAGTATATTAATGTGCATGTTGCTTTTAGATGGTCAATGCTGCTGTGCCGGTACTCGTACATTCGTCCAAGAGACCATCTATGACGGTATAATTAAAGAAAATATTATGAAAATTTTTGATGGGAATTTTTTTTTTAAATTTATAATTGGATTTAATTTAATGTTTGCAGCATTTGTGGCAAAGTCTGTTGAGCTCACACGCAAACGCAAAGTTGGCAATCCATTCGCTGATGATACACTGCAAGGTAAATGAGAACATGAATAAAATTGATTTTGCATAGAAATTTCACTAATTGAAAATGACATGAATAGGTCCACAAATCGACGCTGAAAGCCAGCAGAAGATTTTAAAGTACATTGAATTGGGCAATAAGCAAGGTGCCAAATTGGAGTGCGGTGGAAATAAATGGGGAAACGAAGGATTCTTCGTTGAACCAACCATTTTCTCAAATGTAACTGACAACATGACCATTGCTCAAGAAGAGGTATGACATGCTTCCTCCATCTTTCTCAACGTTTAATGGAACATTGCGATATATTCTAAAAATAAAAACCGATTTCATTTGCAAATAGATCTTCGGTCCAGTTCAATCAGTTATAAAGTTCAAAACTCTGGATGAGGTAATTGAACGTGCCAATAAAACATCTTATGGGCTGGCAGCCGGTATTTTGACCAAAAATATTGATTGGGCATTGACATTTGCTCGTGCTGTTGAAGCTGGTTCTGTATGGATCAATTGCTACGATGCTGTGACACCACAAACACCGGTAATTACTCTGAAATCATATTTATGTTTCTAAATTTCTATTCAATTAAATCTGACATGAATGATATGAACATAATCGATGAATATTTCAAAAATATATTTGAATTTTTCAGTTCGGTGGCTACAAGCAGTCTGGTCATGGTCGTGAGCTTGGAGAAGACGGACTTGAACCATATACGGAAACAAAAACGATTTTGGTGAAATTACCAACCAAAAACTAAATCCTCTGATAAAACAAAAAGAATATCCACTTTGAGGCTTCTTTATATACAAACACCAAAAATTCTATGCACATTATCTATTAGCTTATTCACATTGAAATTGATCATACTTTATAGTAGTACTAATCCTTTTTTGAGATCAAATTCTTTTTTTTTCCAATCAAAAATAAATAAAATGAAATATTTACCAAAGATTTGGAAGTGTTGATGTATAAACATGGTCCTTTAATCATTCGGGTAAGTATGCGATTGGAGGAAAGCATATATACACATATACACACACATTTTACTCTATCCAATCAAGCATATCACGTTCTCTTGAAATGGAAAATAAAGCGTAGGTACCACCGCGCCTACGTCAGCATTGTAATTGTCAAGTTAATGTATGTAAAGTATTGGAGTAAGCCTATCAAATCCAATCATCCAAGTAATCATTAAAAATATTAACCTTTTTCATTCTTGGAATTCCATTCTTTTATCAATTTAATCTAAGGCAATTGGTTTAAAGATAAATGACATTGTTGTTATCGTATATGATTTATTATATATGCTAATTAATTTTGTTTTTATGTTTCCATCCAAATTAAGGGGAGTATGAAAACATTCAACTTTTATTGTCGGATAATTCGTTTATTCAGGTTATGATTTTACGGAGTGTAATGAGCTCCTCCCGTCTGCTTAAAGAATCTTTAGAATGAGCAACAAACCCTGCCGACACCAGTGCATCCATAAATATACGGCAGTACGCGTTGGACTTTGGGAAATCGATCTTGGAAGCCGTTTTTCATTCCACTTACGACCGACTGCTGCAAATCCTTTGAAAATCCAAATGACAGAGTCACATCTTAAAGTTCCAAAGATAATAAGCGACAAAATCAATGAAAAAATCTCAAAAATTATCATTTTCGCAAATGAAATATTGTGAGAAATGGCGATGAAATTGGGTTTCATTCACATCGTGTTAAAGTGAAAAAAAAAATTTAAGAGCGATTTTTAGTTCTGGTGGGACGCGAGACAGCTGACAATTTATGGAATAATTTCGCTTTGGAATGCACAACGAAAGGATTAAAAGGAGAGCAATTTGATCTGCACGCATCGAAGGATCTAAAAAATTGGAATCTATGTGAAAGAGCACTTTGTGGATTATACTCTCTTCCTCTCCGTTTTTCTTCTTCTTCAAATTATAGAGCACATTGAAAAAGTCACGGGCAGACATCCTCAGTATGAGTGGATATATATATACAGCGGTGGTTACTTTTTTTCCTTAATTTGTCGTTTCTCACCCATAATTTCTCTCTCTCGCTCTCTCTCTCGCTCTTGGACGAGAATATCAAAAACTTTCCGCTCGAAAGGAGACATAAACGGCAATGAAAACCATCGTTGAAATTCATGTGGCCAAACTCATTCATAATGCAATAACCGCAGTCGATAAATGCTTTTGGTCCTTTTTCAAAATATGATACTCTCTGTCTGACTCTTAGTACCGCCGAACTTTTCGGCAATAGCGATAATCAACCTCAACGGTCTCTTTTTTTTCTCACTTTTGCTCTATAGCTCTCTTTCTCTCTCTCTCTCTCTCTCTCTCTCTCCCTCCCTCTCTCCCTCCCTCTCAATAGTAAACAAAGTTTAAGTTTTCTCTTAAAGATTATAAGTACCGTAGCCAGGAAAAATAATACTTTAGCCCCAAAATGCTGATTCGGTCATTAAAATTATGCATAAAAATAAGTGTCAGCTTCTAAATAATATTCAAGTTGCACACTTGACTTTTTTTTTTTTTTTATTGAAATTTTGCATTTATCGCTATGGTCTCTCGTTGTCGGTGCACATCAAACAAACGTTGAAGAGTGGTTTAGGATAATTTCCCGAAAGGATGCTTCGCCTATCATAATACCATTCGACACAAGTAGATCATTGACTTTATGGTACAGTGAAAACCATTATTTAAAATTTACAATGTCGAAGTGTGTGTATGTGTACTATGTTCTCTTGTTTGTTTCCAACATTTTAATGTAAATTGTGTTAGTATTTACAAACGAATCACTTCGCAGAAAGGCAACAGTAGAAAAAATTAATTCCAAAACCAAATGATTTGATAAAACTGACAAAAAAATTAGCATTTAGCATTGAAATTTGTAGGTAAACATCTAAATCCTTTATTCTATCACATTTTTTTGCGGTTCGATGAATCATTCGAAAAGTAGAGAAAAAAAATCTAGCAAATTTCCCAGGCATTTTATTTTTGTTGGTATTATCATCGAAACGCCCATTCAAAAGCGATTTCACATGTAAATTTAAATGTTGTGGCATCAATTTCTCTCCATATGTTGCCGCCATATGCCAACATTATTCACATTCTCTCTCTGTCTCTGTTTGACCTCAAGAATTTCGGTGTGAAGTGTCTTTTGAGACGCAAAGAATATAAAGTATAACATTACAGTTTCATTGAAACCATGTTGTGAGGGTAAGAAGATGAAAGAAAGTGAAAAAAAATTGCCCAAGCTTTGCCTTACACACTGCAGTCACCTTTTATTTGCGTTGGCCTTCCCAATGAGCCAAACACGTGCAATTATTGTGCATAGTAGATTTATTCCCAAATCGTGCACAATTCTTACACATATTGTGCCCAGAAACAAAATTGTATCTAAATAGGTCCAAAAATTGCACAATTTTTGCACTTTTAGTGCTACATTTAGCATTACATTAAAATATGCACAAAATTCAAACATTTAGCATTACATGTGTTCATTGGGTTTGCAAGCAAACTACATTCAAGGGGATGACGAATGTTTTTGGATCAATATTAACAGTAGGCTTCTATACCGTGTGTTACTGGCTTCTATCACACACACACACACACCTTCCCACTCCCACTCAGTGTCTCTGCAGCGATGAAACTTTTTCTCCAAAAAGCACACGCAAATAATGAAACGACTTTTTATGGTGTTGGATGGCGAATTGTCGGCTTTTTTCAACACTCTAAGTCGATTACGTTGAATGGAGTTATTTTTCCGTCTTTCGTTCGCATTACACACCCACCCACACACACACACACACACTCACAATATGCTAATTCAAGTGGCTCATGAAAAGAAAAGAGAATAATCATATAGCCAAGATGTAAATGTTCCGAGTGTCCAACAGAAAATGCGACAGCCCAAAGCAGCGAGAGGAAACACCAAAAGATTGAATGAATGAAATGAACAATTGTTTGCCTCAAGCTTTTTCTCTGGCTATTGTCATTTGTGATACTTCACTTTGTAACGTGGGATTATTTTGGAAAACGGGCGATATGGTAATTTAGCTGGCGAATTAATGTTAATAACTGTGTTTAGACTATTTACCATTCGTGGTTTCGGGTGGCGTTGACGGTGGAATGGTGATATGGCTCGTTTCGATTAGTCATTTCAACGCCGGATGAGCGGATTGGTGGTTGGATGGTTGGTCGCACAATCTGTTGTTCGATAAAATTATTGTGCTTGGTCGTTAACAGTAACAGCGTTCAATCGATATGTGGTTCGATGATGTGACAAACAAAAAAGAGGCGCGACTGGTTTTTAATGCCGCTAGCAATATGTACAACATACAATGTAATATGATTGAATTCGTTAATTACGTTGTTGTTCACGTTGAGATTTGAAATATGGATAAGTTTTACTTTAATTATGAGCTGATGAAATTTCCGAAAATAAATTTGAATAAACTGATAATAACACCAATTCCCTTGTTGTTTGAAATAATTATCTGTCTAATTGATATCAATTTGATGATACCCGATGATATCATGTGAATACAATAGAAAAACGGGGTTTTAGGAGACTTTTTGACATTTTCATTGATTTTTTCTTGGGCCAATTTAGAATTATTTTCATCGCCGCGTTGGCGGATTAATGTTCTCAATATTTCAATTCAAATCATTCGCCTGAATATCGTTCTCATATGTTTACGCAAACAAAAATGATTAAATTTTATTTAAAAGAAAAAAAGACTGCCGAGACAATCTATTTACTGAATTGTAGTCAAGATTACAATTTATCTATTTTCAATGCGCTGAGACAGCTCATCCGGCGACAATGGTAAGAATATTGTTACCGTTATTGTAAACTGTTGCCTACTCTCTGCGTCAACTCGTAATGTTATCACGAAGATTAATAAAGGCCAGATTATCGGACCTGCAAGTGTATATGCTTATGATAGCCAATAGCATCATACTATACATAGCGTTATAATGCGATTTCGTGCGTTTACTTGCTGTTGAGATTAAAAAATCGGCTCTCAGGGAGCTTTGTGTGCCCGTAAATTACCTTGAATTTCGTGTGAAACATGCGATTCAGTTTCTACACTGCACCTCTTCATCTCCATATATCAATTCAATCTGTTATATTTACGTATTGCCGAGAGATAAGTTCATAATTCAGAAAGCCGCTTCGATCAAAAAACACATGAAAAATATGCAACTTGGAGCAGTCAATAGCCACTTTGTCAAAATTGTGACGTGAATGTATGAATTGTGGATGTAAATAGCAGTGCGTGTGTGCAGAAAGCGTTGGATTGTATATTTCCCTCAAATTGAGTATTTCACTTTCTAATACTTCATGATAAGGTATCGGTCAAGTGTAAGCCATAGAAACGTATAGAATAACGCAAAAAACAAACAAACGAGGGAATTATTGATTCAGAACATTTTCATTTCTTATCTGCTTCAACAGTAAATTTTTTTTATCGAATTATATGCATTGGAATGTTTTGTTAAATGAACGAATATCTGTGGTGGAATTCCAAACAACGTCCAAAAATATCCACAAATTTTTATGTGAAATGTGAAAATTTTCACACGAAAATTACAATTGATTTTATTGTTTAAATCACATTTGTGATTTTCAGAACAACGAATTCGATTGTTCTCTATGTGATTTTCATTTTCACATCTTTCTACTGTAAGTTTCTACTATCGCGTTATGTTCACATTGTGAATATTTTCTCGAAAGTCTTTGATGACGAAAGATCATTTCGCAAAACTAATTTCTAGCAGATTTTCTACTAGATATCGTAAACCATCCAAATTGTAACATAGTTTTAATTGTAACATAGTCTTAAAATAAACCACTTTTCTGAAAAAATACAAATAAGTCATACATTCATATCGGAAGTTTTTTTTCGTGATCTTCTCAAATATGATATAAAAAACAACAGTTACCCTTCAAAGTTTTACAAAAAACTAGTCTATTTGTTCAATTGTTACAATTCGGACTATGTTACAATTTGGATGGTTTACGATATGTTCGATCAAACGAGTGAGAACATGCTGAATTTATCGTTCGACAATATTTATTGAAATAAAAAGAATTACATTGGTAATCCCGAACTTTTCCGTACCGTTGGCCTGCGTTGTCCTTAGGAACTTTTGGTTATTTTTTGTGAATTTTCTTGAAATAAAGGCAGTGAAAATATAATAATAAAAATAAAGTGAAAAATCGGTCACTTTAACTAAAACTTCGACAATCTTGTATGAGAGGTACCCGTAAACCGATTCTCATTGGGTTTAAACTTTCTGAGGTTTCATTTTTTGGAGAAAAAAAAAGATTCTGAAAGTTTCATGTTGATCGCATTTGCAGAAGTTTGGTTTTTGGCCCTCAAATTTTTCCAGAAAAATTTCGACAAAAATTGAGGACAAAAAATCAAACTTCTGCAAATACGATCAAATCCAGCAACACAAAACAAATGATTTTCAGAATCTTATTTTTTCTTCAGAAAATGAATTGCCTCCTATGGACAATTATCCAAAATTTATGAACCGAAAATATCAAAACCGACGATTAATTGAAATTTAGTGCAATTCACATTTTCTCCAAAAATTTTCCTTTTTACCACAATAATAACTTGCAATGATTCAAAACATGTTTTCACATTTAAGTTCAAATCTCCAACTGCTCAGGTTTTTTTCACCATTTTTGTTCCATAGAATACTTGAATAGATTTACTTATAGGGCAAGTACCCCAGGGTCAAATCGAAAATAGCTCATCTTCGAACTTGAACTAAGTTTATTGGAAACAAAACTTTTGGGACTTTCAGATTTGGATTATCTCAATTATTTCTTGAGTTATCGTGTTTACAAACAGCTACGACAACGACGACAACGACGGCACACGAACGGAAAAGTGTCTCAAAAAGTGGTTTTCTACGCGTTTCATGAGTTTTTATGATGATCTAAGCTAATTTTGCGAAAAAAGTTTTCGGGACCAATTCCTATACTTTCCCTTGACACGTTGTGTACGGAAAAGTAAAATACTATCCCAACAGAGTTGATGAAGTCAATGGTATAAAATAAATTCAAAAAGAGAAACAATAGGACTTGCAGTGAAGATTCATGTAAATTACGATTTTTCAAATCCACATAAATTTAATTCAAACATTGAACAAATGAAAATATCATTGTTTCAAAATAGCACGGTACACTCGACTAATTCACGTAAAAATTTGATCATCTGTATGTTTTGTGAAAATCTTTTCTTAACCCTCTAATGAATTAATTTTTCCTAGTATTGGTACTCGGTTGATTTTTGGCCATAGATAATTAAAAAATATTCATAATCCTGGATTCTACATGGTTCAGTCAGGAAATGCGATTGACATACATAAATCAGAGAAAAATCAAATCCATAGTTTAAAAGTGCCAAAAATGTGTCTAATTTCGAGTTGGAATAATTTATTTTGTCAAGTTTTTGTTTTTGCACACATTTTTGTTTATAACTTTACAATCACACTACATAGACAAATATTGCCACAGACAAAAATAAAGCGAAAACATTGACTAATAAAAATGCCTTTTGAAGCAATGTGATCCGATGTACGGTTTACGTTCTACAGGCGTACAAATGTTGCCCGTCTAGAGGCGGTTGTATGCATTAGAGGGTTTAGTAAAGAGTTCGTTTTTGCTTGAAGAATTATGGCTTGATTGACTTGACATTGATATGGTGTTTCTGTTTTGATCGTCCATATCACATTGAATGTTTGGCACACTTCGCTCGCGCCAAAAAATGCGATGCAATGTAAAAACATCGATTGCGCTTGACATTTGCTTGATTTGAATCCAAAAAAAACATGTTTGTGCATATGATTCAAATTCAATTATTCATCATTCGTTGAGTAGAAGTGATTTTCGTACGAAAATTTCTGTGTGAAAATTGAACGATGTCAGTTCAAATGTCGAACACGAATTTTTCGATTCAATGATTGAACTACTTTCGTATGGAATTCGCTCGTTTTTTTTCATTGTGAATGATTGTTTAAACAAATTGTTTTAATTAGAAATAATTCGGTCAACGGAAAATGAAGAGAGTGCACGAAATCGATCAATAAAAATGTGGAAAAGTATTGGTTTCCTCTGTCGTGTGTGTGTCGAACATTTAAAAACTCGTGTATCGATCGATCGGTTATAAATGATGCGGTTTTTAAATGAACGGCCTTCAAAAATAGAGCACTAGGTCATTAATACGTACAGTAATTTTACAAGTGGACCACTGAATTAATGATAGAATGAACGATGTTGAAAATGTTGAATTGAATGCTGCGCAAAATTACCGGTTTTAGCCAGTTGGCTAGAATGAAGGCAACAAATATTTATCGCATCGTTGATGTGCTCAACCAAATGCAAAACCGATCAAACAAACGAATTCATCGGCTTTATTGTGTGTATATTTGGTTTTTGGTTGAAATATTTACCAGTTTCGAGGACGCTATTAATAAATCGATTCCTCTTTGACAGTTTGTTGATAATGATACCAAACCATCTATGGAATACTGAACAAAACCACAATCATTTTCGCCGTATGCGTTTTTAGTCGCTTTCCCGCTCTCAGCACAAAAACTCCATTTGTTTTTTCGATTTTTGTTTTAATTTCAATTTAAACCAGAGCATTGAAGTTGCTGGCTATGTAGTGCTGCTGGTGAACAGATCTGTTTAACAGCAGCTATGAGTTGCATGCATATTCGCTGTGACGCGCGTTCGTTCATCTCCTGATTCTCACACACAGTGTTTGTCTCTTGCATTCACACGGAAAGAGAGAGAGAAGCACATACAACACACGAGATACATCGTAAGCGACGCGCGCGTGCATGTACACACATAGCTGCCGTTCGCAGACAATGTATTTGGCTAATGTCAGATAGCTAACTGAAAACATTCTGGCTGGGTGAGCGGCTGAATTCTATGCGTTGCGTTTTTTCACCGCAATCTGTAGTATACATACCATAAGAAATGTAAAATGTTCGCCATTTATTTTTGAATTGCCAATACATTAGTTATCGTAAACACTCCAATTTGTAACATAGTCCAAATTGTAAACTTTTTGCAAAAAAACACGATTTTAACATAGATACAAATTGTAAATGCGACACATTACATACATATTCGGAAGAAGCACGAAAAAATCTATCTATGTAGAATAATTAAACACAGAAAATGTTTTAATTGATATTTATTTATCCATTTTGAAAACAGCATCTAGTTTTTCACTGTTTTTGAGAGGAAAAGTTGAACTATGTTGCAATTTCACGCTTCTCATTGTTTTTTTCACTACATATAGTACAAAATATTTTATGTTTTAATGCATTTCTATTGTGGAATGTTTTTTTAAAAATCAATGAAACACTCTTTTTGTAATGTATTTCGGAAAATAATAATATTTTAGATAAATTTCATGATGCATCAATTGTAACTAATTCTTTCCGAGTTATAACATACAAAGTTGCTGTCAAACTGAACTTTGAATGAAAGTTCTATGATTGATTTGGTGTTGACAGATGTAACAGTTCGCAATGTGCCGATCACTCAGTGTGTTGAAATGTATGATTGTGTAAATATTCTTGTTTGCAAAACGAATTTAAAACAATAAATATTGAAAAACATAAAAGGAAAACAATCCAAAATCAATAGAAAAAATCGAAATGACATCGAAATTGGAAACAATTATGTGGAAGCCTAAGGGCTTTTGTGCGTTCGAATTTCGACATTTCATAAAGTTTCGTCATAAGTTTGTGAATATATGTTTCAATTTGGAGTTTACAATGCGGATAGTTCAGTTTACAAATATGAGATTTCGTGTATTTTTGCGATTAAAATAAAAATTAAACTATTGAATGAATTTTTCGTTAATCAACCGATACATCAAATAAAAGCCATATAAATTCTCTTTCGAATAGATATAAACATGTTGGGAATTTATGAAGTTATTTTGTGAAAATGGACATGCAAATCGGAAGATCGATAGTTTATGTTACAAATTGGAGTGTTTACGATATTGGGATTTCTGTTTTGTTTATTTTTTTTTTTTTTTTTGTAAACAAATCTGCCTATCTTTTTGCATTGCCTCTGCACATTTCCTATGGACATATACTATGCACAATGCACAGTTACAATGCAAAAAGATAGGCAGATTTGTTTACAAACAAAAATAAACAAAACAAAAATCCCCATATATATGATTTCTGTACTGCAGATGCGATGAAAAAACGTAACGCATAGAATTCAGCCGCTGAGCCAGCCAGAATTTTTTCAGTTAGCTAGCTGACATTTGCCAAATACATTGTCTGGCCATTCGTGTCTCGTGTGTTTTATACTCTTGTCTTTCTGTTTCTGTGTGAATGCAAGAGACAAACACTGTGAATTTCGTCAAGTGTACCAACGAACATCAAAGCAGAATTCAAATTCAACGGTTTTCAAATCAAACACTATGCAATCGAATGTTTCCAATGTTTGTGTTTTCTTTAATCAAGTGCAGAGGAGAAAAAGAACAAAGCTAATGAATGTTAAATTTATTTATTTGTTGTGTTCTTTTTATTTTTGAATCTGTAACAACGAAAACAAATGAAGCGATTGTATTGTAAACAAATGAAGTATTTATTTTTATGAAAATCATGAACAAATTTTTATCGTTTAATTTAAAAACGACAGTGCGATGTAAAAATGAAAAATGAGACAAATAAAAACAGAACACAAATAAATAAATTTAACAATCATTAGCTTTGTTCTTTGTCTCCTCTGCACTTGATTAAAGAAAACACAAACATTGGAAACATTCGATTGCATAGTGTTTGATTTGAAAACCGTTGAATTTAAATTCTGCTTTGACGTTCGTTGGTACACTTGACGAAATTCACAGTGTTTGTCTCTTGCATTCACACAGAAACAGAAAGACAAGCGTATTAAAACACACGAGACACGAACGGCAGCTATGTGTGTGCAATGTGCATGCACGCGCGCGTCGCTTACGATGTATCTCGTGTGTTGTATGTACTTCTCTTTCTCTTTCCGTGTGAATGCAAGAGACAAACACTGTGTGTGAGAATCGGGAGATGAACGAACGCGTGTCACAGCGAATATGCACGCAACCAATAGCTGCTGTTAAACAGATCTGTTCACCAGCACCACTACATAGCCAGCAACTTCAATGCTCTGCGTTAAATTGCAAAAATATTTCATTTTGATGATCCAAAATGGTCAACGACCTATGGTTTATCATGAACTCAAAATTGCCAAGGTGGATTTGGAAACATTTACTGAAGTAAGTCAGCCCTTCATATTAATAAGAGGGTTTTGAATTCTTCTACTGACATTTTTGATTGATCGAATATTTTTCTCCTTTCAGATGATAAAAATGGTGTTCACCTATTTTATTGATTAAAAAAACCATTTAAAAACTATTTGGCCTTTTAATTGAATACCCAGAAAGAAATTCGATGGCTCAAGCCATTTGCAATTTACATTCTTTCCACATATTCGACTTCAGTTAGAAGAAACCTTCTAAGGTGTTTAAACCTTTACTATAGATTAAATCTATTAGATTCTTTAATCAAACTAGAATTAGTTGTGATGCACTTGATCGCTGTATGCCACACCTGTTTTAAGCTCATCCAAACATACCCAACTCGAAAATACTTTTATCATAAATATATTGCCGGAATACCAAAAGACAGCCAATGACATCTCTGAACCAACTCATTGAATCATCGAATATTTTGAGCAACTTTTTTCAATTGTGTGTGGCTTGAGTTGAATATGATCAACTTTACGGCGACACTAGCAGCTTCTCTGCACACACATCGTAGAAGAGAGTACAAAAATCATAGTATTTTGGCAAATGCATCGAGTCACCATTGCGAAACATCAATACGTTTTGGCTAACGCGTAGTACCGGCCCACAGAGAAGCTGTTAGCGTCGTCGTAAAGTTGATTATATTCTAGTAAAGCCATACACGTTTGAAAAAAGTTGCCGAAAAATTCAACGATTCAATGAGTTGGAATTGAGATGGCATTGATTGCTATGTGTCAAATGACTTACATTTGAAATGTATTGTGGCAATATATCTATGACTTTTACTTAACCTTATTTGCACCATTAAAACCAGACAAGGATAGAAAAAAGTGCGAACAATCCGTTTTTTGAAACGTTACAAACATTGATTTGCACCAAACTATAAACTATGCTTTTATTTTAATAAAGATTTCATTCAAAATGTTCCTTCTGGATTTTTATTACTGTCATAAATGGTCAAATTGGAATATTTATGGTTGCAAAATGCGTATCAAGTGCATTTTGACGTGCTCTGTTTTCATAATAAGATTTTCAAAGCGTTGACATTGCAAAATGTCCACATCAATGCTACTAAAAATTCAATCAACTTAGCCTTTATAAAAGTTATCTTTTCATTTGTTGTCAGTCAATTCGATATTTGATTTCAAAACACAGTCGAAACGCTTTTATTATATTTTCAAATAAAATGGCACATGAACCTTCAGGTAAGTTATATTACTTCCACAGATTGCAGTGTATTTCTTATTCAAACCAAACCGATTTTTCTTGTGGTTGCAAATCAAATCAATTGAGGACTTTTTGAGGATACACATTCATTTTCGCTCAAAATCTGTTGTTTAGTGAACAAAAAAAAAACTAACAATATTCTTTCTGGTGAATACTGTTCACTGAACAGAATGGATGCATATTCCATCGGCAGTCATTGGTTGTCCGCCAGGGCTCGAGTACTTGTCAACGCTGGACTGTTTGTATGTCGAAGAACAAGTCGATATTATTGATCTGTTCATTGGATTCGAACAGAATAACCGATACATCATAAAGAATATTTACGGCGAAAAGGTGAAAAGAAACGATTTTTTTTCTATTTACAAACAAAGCAAATTTTGTTTCATTTTTCCTGTTCAAATCTAGATTTACTGGGCAGTTGAGGACAATGATTGTTGCACCCGTTGCATGTAAATAATGTTGTATAATAATCGTTTCGTTTTAATGCGTTTGAATTTTATTGTCTCCAAAAAAGGTGTGGTGGTGCTCGTCCGTTTGACATGAAAGTCTTTGATTACAGAGGAGTTGAAGTGATTCATTTTCGTCGGCCATTGAGATGCCAGAGCTGTTGTTTCCCCTGTTGCTTGCAGGTGATTGAGGTGTTTTCGCCTCCGGGTGAACTTCTCGGAACTGTTGAGCAGAATTGGACGTTATGTAAACCTGATTATTCGGTTAAAAACCACAATGGCGAAACCGTTTTACGCATCACTGGACCAATTTGCATGTTGCCAATGTGCTGCGACGTCGAGTTTAAGGTATTTTAGATGTATGCAAAAAAAAAGAACAAGGAAGCTATTGACGGTTCAACTGTTTTTTTTTTTAATCAATCTCCGTCACGTCACCCACTCGAATGCAAATCTTTTTAATCCAATGTACAAGTCAACTGTCAATAGCTAAGGTTTCAAATACGACTTGATAAATCAAGAGTATTTAAGGTTTTACTACATAGTCATAGAATGAATTTTATGCATTTAGTATTCATTTTTAGAATTTACAAACTTAACTCGCAACTTTAATTTGAATTATCAAGTTATTTATATTCGATGTCAATTACAGATACTCTCATTGGATGGACAACAAGTTGGCCGGATTTCGAAGAATTTGAATATAGTCGGTGATTGGTTGCTCAATGTTCATTTCTTTGGCATTTCATTTCCATTGGATTTGGATGTTCGAATGAAAGCCGTCATGCTCGGCGCATGCATGTTGATTGTAATTGAATTTATTCTCAACCTGTTGCCTGATACATTGAATGCAATGCTTCCATTGATTTGGTAATTATTTCGTATTTTCATCTCGTTCCAGGACATGATGTACATGCAAAGGCGGGACCGCCAAGGATGTAACTCTGGTAGAAGTTAAGAATTTCTGCAAGTGGAATGTATCAAGGTCGATATGCAAAGTAAAAAAGGAAATAATTAACTATTTCATAGCTAAAACACTCCTTTGTTCTCTCTTTGTCTGTTCCATTGAATCTCATCTCTCAATCATGAATTAAAAAAAAACTCAAAAAATTCAGTTGTAAATCGTGATAGGAGTGATAAATTTTGATTTTGTTAAACTATTTTCAGAATTCAATTCAATTTTAGCAGCGCTTAAGCTGAAACTCGAGCTTATATTACCAATGCTTGCTATTCGATAGCATATTACTGTTTTGTTATTTGATAAGCGTACTTTCGTTCTGTCGCTTTGGATTTTGGTCCCGAGAAAGTCATCTGAACTTTATTGCACTGTGTTTTTAGCGCAATTGATTGAACCGGCTTCAAACCGAACGAAAACAATTTGATCGATTGGTAATGTTTTGGAACGGCTAAAATCGGTTGAGTATTTCATTATCTTCCAAAAGGCATAGAATATCTAGGGGAATTGTCATAAATGATGTGTTTTGCATTTCGTTGACATAAAATTAGCTGCACAAAATGATTCGGATCAAGTGAGTTTAAGCCAAAGAAAATCTGAACGTTTTTTTAGAGAAATATTATGTTGGAGAAAAAATTATAATTCAGAAAATAAGAGCCTTCATTTCATGCTAAAAATTAGAGAAAATTGAACCATTCAATCAATGAAAAACGATGAAAAGATTGAGCCAAAAAAGGCTCATTTGAATTTGGATTTGTTTGCTTATTGAAAATTGTATTCAATTAAAAATTTGCCACAAGAGATTCAATCAATGAGGGGGAAATGTTTGGTAAACAATTCAACGAAAACTGAAGCATTTTTTCTAAGAATTGGTAAACTGCCTCAAACCAATCAATTTAAGAAAAATGGGATTTTATAATTTTTTTCCTCGTTATTTTTTTAATTTACAGAATGTGGACTTACAATTGATCGTTAAGACGCTATAGTGTCACTCATAAGAGAAATACATTTCTATCTATATATATAAAACTCATTGTGCGTGTGTCCTATTTTTTTTAATTTTCATGATTTTTTAATTCTTGGTTTTAATGGTGAATATGTCGTTAGAATTCTCGCGGCTTAAATAGCAGATTCACATATCAGTTTTGATTTTCGAATTAAATTTTCAAAAGTTTGAAGAAACAATTTTTTTAATTGTTTTTCGATACAACGTACATTAATGTGGATTGATGGCAATGAAATATTGGTTTTGGAACAGAGATGAACATGGACACCATCTCGGTCCATCATGGTCATGTTAACACGACTCAACACCAATTCACATATAAAAAAATGCGTGTAAAATCAACTCCAGAAGAAGGATAAACTTTCCCAGAAAATCGTCTTTGCTTTGAAAAAACAAGTATTGAACATACGAAATGATACAGACAAACATTCGATTTCGGGGAGTCGCGAAGCGACCTAGCGCCGAAGCCGAGCGAAGCGAGTTCATACATAATCCCAGCCGTGGAACAGTTTGAACGAATGTCAAACATATCGCAAGTGACTATACTTGGCAGATAGCTGAGGATATATGCTGTGCATAGAAACTCAGTAAGCAGAACTTGGGACATTTTGACTTTAGTACGTGTAGTCCATACAAATTTATGATGGGACGCATACAGTTTCGTGCATTTCATCATGCATTTATATGGACTACACGTCATAAAGTCAAAATGTCCCAATCTCAGCTTACTGAGTTTCTATGCTCAGCATATATCCTCAGCTATCTGTCATTGACTGCGCAAGCAGACAGATTGGATGCGTTTTTCTTCGTTGAAGTCGGGTGAGTCACCGTGATCATTTTGCATGGAATGTTATGTATACGGCTCGCATTATATGATTCATACAGTATGAACAAAAATGAATTGCAGTGAGAAACGTGTGTTCGAAGATTTGTCACAGTGACAAGTCACTGTTGTTGTTTTGCTGTTGAACATTCCAACTTGGAATAATTTGTCAGGCAAAATAGCTAAGACAGAAGAGCGATAGGCGAGGGGGAAATCACTCTAAAGTAATTTTTAGTCGAGGAAATAACAGAGAAGTAATCGAGACGAAACATTTTTTTCCTTCATTACTTTTCGATTTTCACATGTGGATTACTTTTCGATTACTTCTCTGTTATTTTCTCGACTACAAATTACTTTAGAGTGATTTCCCCCTCGGCGATAGGTATGAGTTTTAACAAAAATTCCACATTACAGATACCGATCATGAGGACTTCAACGCGCTGTTACTGCTTGAAAATGTGAAGCCTCAGAATTATTTCAACGGGAATAAATACGTCGGTTTCGAGAAGGAAGAGACATTTGCCGTGCTAAAAGTAATTAACATTCGTTTCTTTTCGAAGCAAAATCAGTAAACAATTTAAGAAAAAATATTTTCTCGATGACGAATTATTCTTTTTCATGGAAAAGTGGCTCTTTCAAGGGGAAGAATGATTTTGTCTGAAAAAAAATTATTTGAACCAGTCAAATATCACATCAATTTTTGAAAAATATTTTCTTATTTTCTTCATAAAATTGGCAAAACTGGCCAAATTTGTATGGGAGGTACCCGTAAATCGCTTTCGATTGGCTTCAAAATTTCAGAGATTGAGTTTTTTGGTAAAAAAATAAGATCCAGAAAGTTTCATGACGTTTGGAATATCACAAATGGGATTTCTATTGGGATTTTACTTTCATGGTTTCATAAAAAACTCATTTACCTATCTAAATCTTGTGCTGACCTGAAATCCCAATAAACAAGCCACAGATATGGCTTTCGGTGCTTGATTTGAAGCTGGCTAGAAGTTTTGGATGGGCAGACTGTCGAAAAACGAGATTTCCCAAAAAAATTCACCATAATGTGAAAGTGAAATACTGAGGGTTTCCGTAAACTGATATTCTTGCCTATTTGAACCCAAAAATGGTCAAAAGTGCTTAATTTTTATTACTGATTTAGATTTTTCGGACCATTTCCCACAACTTTTGCCTTATTTGACTCACTGTTTAACGTGAAAAATTCTTAAATCCCGTATTTGAAAATTAAATGTTGAGAATATACGAAAAATGATATTTTTGCATATTTGGACTCAAAAAACGTACAAAGTGGTTGGGTTAGACAATTTGGACTCAAAAAACGGGCATTAGACAATTTGTTCCTCATTGTGGTTCCTAACAAATTATAATTTGTTTTCGTTTTCAGTCGTAAGGAATTTTGTTCTGCTATACGTGTCATAATGACGACAAGATCTAATTTTTGACTATAAATGATACACCGGATGAGTGGAAATTTAGTTATTGTTCAAGTGATTTGACTATAAACATGTCTAAGCAATTGATGGGTGAGTCTCTTCTTAGTTCTTTTTTTTTAATTTTCATTTTTGGCAATACTAAAAATTTCAGTCACTTATTGTGTTTTAATCAATATTTTCTCTCCGTTTAGTCGGTTTGATTTTGGTTGCGGTTTTGGGAGACCGATTCATGGTAACTTACAATTTTTCAGGTTTTTTTTTTTTGCATGGGGTCGATCGATGATATGAAGAATATTTTTTTCATTTTTCATACAAATTGACATTTTGAAACTGATACGAGATCTTCAGTGTACAAAACGGTTCTTTACCCGACATTTTAATTCTACAAATGTTTTTTTTGTTTCAAAAATCCATTAATTTTACATGACAATCCATTCAATTTGGTTATTCCAAACTAATTATCCTTTATTCGTTTCTAATTTTCAACTTGAAGCAAACTGAGGGTGCGCCTGGGAACGGTAAGACTGGTAAGATTGAAGCTCCATTTCTTTTTTTAAGTTTCGTTCTCACTATTCCACATATGAGTAGTTTGAAGCGGAAATGAAGTACCGAAAAGATGCGCGGAAAAATGTCAAATGAAAAGAGATAGCTCTATAGTTCACTATAGATTATTATACACTATGCAGTAAACTATATATGAACGCGTGAGAATAAAAGACTGACGCTACCAGGTTTTTCGCAAAAGCGGGATAAAAATCAGTTGCACGCAAAAGAGACATTTCAAAAGGTTGCACGCAAGAGAGAAGTATATTGTTGTTGTAATCACGGCTTTAAAATTCAAAATGCGACAAAATAAAATGTTCCGTTTGCGTGTAACCTTTTGAAATGTCTCTTTTGCGTGCAACTGATTGTTATCCCGCTTTTGCGAAAAACCTGCTAGCGTCAGGCTTTTATTCTCACGCGTTCATATATAGCTATACCTTTTCCGCACACACAATAGTATGGAGTTTAATTTTATACTAAAGTTGACATATACGAATGGGATGAAGTTCATCGCAAAAGCAGATGTCAGCACCAACAAATATACACAAATGAGATGACATTTATCCCATTCGTATATGTCAACTATATTTGAATGTATTGGTTATGACACTTTAGTATAAAAGTAAACTCCATACTATTGTGTGTGCG